TATATATATATTATTTTTTCAAATCCAATAAAATATGCATCAATTAATATGAGTATCATGGTGAATTATATACTTCGTTTACTATTTGTTAAGGGGCGTGAAAAGTCAAAACATGCCAAGTAAAAGTAAACGGAGGGAGTAGTATCAATTTTTCTATACTGAAAAACTGCTAGTAGAGAGCATATATGAGACGAAAGATATGTTTGAGGACATCTATCAACCAATAGTTTAACTGATGAAATATATAAAATAAATCACAAATTTTAGGGGCAAAGAAAGTTAATTTTTCTCTAGTCAGTACTTTGTAAGAAAATTAACTTTTGCGTTAATACTATTTTCTCTTCTCCTGGCCGAAAAATATAGACACAAGGAAGGAAATCTATGTTTTTCTTTTGTTTTCTTATAAAAAAATATGAGATTCTCCTCCACCACCCAATTTTTTGGCACAAAAAGCAAAAGATTATCAGAAATAATTGTTTAAGTAATTTCGTACTTTTATGAATGTTTTCTGTTTCACTTCCGAGTAATTATTTGTTGTTATCTTGCTATTTTGTGATTATTTAGACTTTAAAGTAATTCCTAACTTGATTCAAACAACCTCCGAAATTAGATTACCCCGTCCTGGCAATGTGATTATTAAGCATTAAATTATTAGGTAGCATTTTCTTTTAGAGTTTGCACAAGTTGAATGAACAAATTTGTTTGGCCAAGCTAGAAAAATCAGCTTATTTTGAGAAGTTCTTTAAAAAATGTATTTTTGGAGAAAAGCAGTTTGTGTTTGGCAGATCAATTTGAAAAGCACTTTTAAGTAATGTGTTTGACCAAACTTTTCAAAAAGTGTTCTTAAATATCGTAAAGAGATTTACTTAATAGTTAAAATTATATAAGTAGACAAACTGTTACAAATATTTATTATGAAGGACAATAATTAAGCCTTTTGTTTATTTAAGTAAAATATAAAAATAAATTTCAAAAGTACTTTATTATATCAAATAATCATTCAACAAATATAACAGTCCGCCAAAAAGTCATTATATATTACTTAATCGTCTAAGCAAGGTTATTTTGGTATATACAATTCCAAATAGGCTAAGAGAAGCTTAGCCAAATAGGCTATACTGTTTCTATAAATTCCCTAACAAGTGTCACTTACATATGGTTTTTAAAAAAAGGGATTTTTTTCGTTCCTATACAATATTTGAAACTTATTTACTAAATTGTTCTAATTTTGTATATTACCCGTCCTGAATACGGATTACTTACAAATTATATACATCCACCTTAAAAGGCTCACAATCCATTATTAGTGCCTTCAATCAAGGGATTTAATTACACCCTTTTCCTTTTTTCTCTCCTCTCTCCCCTCTTGTCTCCAAAATATTGGGACCACCCTTAATTCCACAAAACAAACCACCCTTAATTCGATCTTGACATTTGTTATTATACTATATTTGTAAAATAATTCTGGAGAATATAAAATAACGTATAGACAGAAATAAAAAACAGAAACACAATTTAGTCCGAACCCACTGAATTTACAGTGTTTCCTTAAAGAACTTAATCCCCTCCTAGTATCCAAGGTTGTGGATTATTTTCTCCCAGGATAGAACGAATTACACATTGGTGTGGCGGTACTTCAAACCCCAGTGTTCCAGCGAACACAATGATCCGTAGCAAATCACACTTACTGTTGCTTTCTTTGTAGTTAAAACAATGCAGAAGAAAGGAGGAGTATTCAAAAATTCGTATGGAAAATCTGAGAGAATGAGCTGATATATATAGCCAATATGTTAAGTTCAAATTGAAGAGGTGCAACTCTTCAGAAGGGCTATCATGACCGTTTACGCAAAACGGCAATAACGTAAATGGCTATTTACGCAACAATAAAACGGGAATTCAAAACCTTATTTTTCCGCTACAAAAACGGAAAACGAACGGGAAGGGAACTTAATTTTTCCGTTACAAAAAATAGAAAACGGACGTTGAGGAAACGGATGATTTGGATTTCATATAAATTTTTTGTTTTACAAAAAACGGATATTTAATAATATTACGTCAATATTTACTATTATCAAATAAATTTGGTCCAAAAATTGATCAATCAATCATTTGACCAAATCCGAAGCCGAAGCCGAAGCCGAGCCGAGCGAGCGACGACGACGACGGCGACGGCGCGAGGCTTGCCTTCTTCTTAACTCTTTAAGAGCTAGAAGAAGAGCAATTGTATATATACCCATCAAAAATCTTTTCCTCTTCCAATATGGGACAATGTCCCTTTGTCAAGGAGGGAAACTCAAATATTTCATTTTTCCTCCATTTTTCATCACCCTCTTTTAAGCTTATTTTAGCTTAAAAACTCAAGAATCCCCCACATGGATGGGGAATGGCTATATCACGGAAATATGCATGAAAAATTGTGTGATTCGCAAGCAAGGATTAATCGCATCTGGATAAGTAGGTTTCCCTTTGAACTTTCCATAGTGAGCTTATGTCGGATATACTCGGTCAATCGGTAGATTTGATATCTTTGAACCGTCAAACTTTTGTTTATACCTAGACAACCATAACTCACACAATCAACCCTTAACCGTCTTTGATTCTCATTGTTGTGTTCGTTTCAGCCATGAACACCGCCTGGTTTCATAAGTGCGTAGAGAACTGGCCTTACAAAATTCTCCTTGAAGCGGCTAACACTTCACACTTTGGGATGACCCGATAGGTCATCTTATAAATTAAAACTAAATTCTGTGTTCTAAGGCCTTAAAAACCCCATTTTATCCCTCATCGATTTACGTGCGCAGTCCGAGCGTGTTTCCGAAAAGCTTTTATGTTGAAAGTTGATAAAAATAAGAATTTTTGATTAAAAACTTCATTTAAGTTGACTTCGGTCAACATTTTTGGTAAACGGACCCAAATTCATATTTTGACAGTCCCGGTGGGTCCGCATAAAAATATGGGACCTGGCATATGCCCAGAATTGGAATTGGAGGTCCCTAGCTCGAGTTATGAATTTTTGTTGAAAATTGAGAGTCTGAAAATTCAATGGTTTTTAAGAAATTCTTAATGTTTGATCTTGTTAGTATCGGGTCCGTATTTTGGTTCCGGAGCCCGGTACAGGTTCAACATAATATTTAAGACTTGTCTGTGAAATTCTGATGAAAAACGGAAGTGGTTTGACGTGATTCGAACGTCCGGTTGAGAAAATAGAAATTTCAAATTGTTCTTGAGAATTTCATTTGATTTGGTGCTAAATTCATGGTTCTAGGTGTTATTTTTGCGATTTGATCGCGTGAGCAAGTTCGTATGATGTTTTAAGACGTGTGCATGGTTGGTTTGGAGCCCCGAGGACTCGGGTGAGTTTCAGATAGGCTACGGAGTGTTTTGAACTTAGAAATTTGCTGGTGTGCTTCAGTTCTTGTTGCAGAGCCTCTGGTCTCGCAATTGCGAGACAAAGCTTCGCATTTGTGACCACTGTTGGGTTCGCATTTGGGACCTACTCATCGTAATTGCAAAGCGTAGCTGTGGAGGCTAATGTTCGCAATTGCGAATAATCCTTCACATTTGCGAAGGGAGTCTGGGAACGGCAGGAATCGCAATTGCGATCATTTGTTCGCAATTGCGGAAGGTCGGGCTCGCATTTGCGAGACTTTCTTCACAATTGCGAAGGAAGAAGGAATGGGGAGACCTCCGCAATTGCGATAGGTTCTTCGCATTTGCGAGCTTCGCAATTGCGAAGCTCAGGTCGCAAATGCGACACTTACAACTGATCAAAATGTCTTTTGGACGGGATTTTTCATTCATTCTCCAAATTTTCAAAACATAGAACCCAATAGGCGATTTTCCAAAGACTTCTTCTTCCCCAAATCATAGGTAAATGATTCTTAATTAGTTTCTTTCAATCTTTCACTTCATTTTACAAGATTTCAACCTAGAATCTAAGGTTTTCATGGTGAAATTGGGGATTTTTGGGTAGAAATTAGGCATTTTGAAATTTGGGGATTTAGACCTCAAATTGAGGTCGGATTCCAAAACCAATTATATATCCGGACTCGGGGGTGAATGGGTAATCGGGTTTTGGCTCGAATTTTGGGTTTGGACCAAGTGGGCCCGGGTGTTGACTTTTGTTGACTTTTTCAATAAAAACCCAAATTGAGTCTTTTGTTATCGTGGATGATTCCTAAGGCTTATTTTGAAACGTTTGGTTGGTAATTTGCTAGAT